ATAATTCACTCGCTAGGTGGAGGTAAAATAGGGACTAAAGTTTAACAGAATAAGATCCATTTGAAAAGGTAAACAAACCAGACTGGGACATATGAAAGTCATTTAAATAAAGTAAATAATATCTATCACAAAAGCAATTAATGTGCATATATTAAATAAAAAAGAAGGTAAAAGCAATAAAGTTTTGATATTTTCTAATCAATAATATATTATTATCTTGTATAACTTAATATCTAATAAAAATATTGTTGTCTTCTTCGAGAACCTTTATAAACTTGCTAAATAATTAAAAGGACTGCCTACGGCAAATGTAAACCGTAACAGTTGTAGAAGCAGGATCCATGTACTGATTATGGTATATTAAATCAATTGAAAACTATGTTAAAAAAATAATTTCTTTTTATGAATAAACAGTTACACTTTTTTTTACTTTCCCACCCTCAAAAATAAAACTCTTTGATAAGATTATATTATTTTTTATTTAGATTTAATTTATAGTAAAATACAATATTTTTAATGATACAATATTTATAATAATACAGTAATTATATTTTTTAAAAAAACAATGTTAATAACAAATCTTAATTCATAGTAAAATATATTTTTTTTTAAAAATACAATATTTTTAATAATACAATGATAACAACAAATCTTAATTATTTTTTTGGATGACTCCATAAACTTTTTAAATTATGCATTATTAGTATCTGGAAGCACTTTATTTCACAAAGTTAAAGCTTCCAACTGTTTTAAAGTCTTAACTTTATCTTCGTAAAATTCAATATCTCGGTTTAATTATTTAGCAAAATTCCTCTAATTCACTTCTGTCTAGATATAAAAATATTTTAGATAAATCTGGTTTTTAATTTTTGTGCAAATCCTCATCGCAATCGTCTTTCCTTTAACTCAAACACGAGTTTGTCAAAAGATTCATGACACCATGCAGATTTACTGCTATAAACCCCTGATGTAATTTGTTTGAAACCCAAGCCCGATGAAAATGATCAAATTCAAAATTTATTGTCGTTTTTTTTTTCCTTAAAAATTTGATGCAAATATTTAAAACAAGATCTACATAATATTAAATTATATTTTTAAATCTTATAATAATTAAACCAAGTACAGTAATAGTCATAATTTCATTACTACCTATCAAGGCTTCTCTAAGTTCTGGAGTCATTCAACAATTTTTTTTAAATTCAAAATTTGTAAAAATATCACAGTATTCAATTGGTTCAGTTAAAATCTGTTGCCATTTGTATTTGCCGAATTTTTCTATAACCTTTTCTGTTACTTACCGTAGTGGAGATATTAAAACAAATTTAATGATAATGGTAACCCTTCTACAAATGGTTTTCATGTAAATATTTTGGAAACTTTCCATTGCCGATATTGTTGTTGTTGTTGCTGCTGTTGTTGTTGTCGTTGTTGTTGTTGTTGATGTATATATTTATATATACATATATTGTTTAAATCTGAAAAGAAAAAAATGAATTCAAAAATTTTTATTCTTGCTGAAATGACCTAAAGGGTATTGTGTGAGCCATCGTGTGAGGCCGGAATTATATGACGTTTATCATCAAACGGGTTTAAGGCGATTTTTGATTTGTTCAATGATGTATTCATTATGTAACTTAGATTGTATGCAATGTTGAGTGGTATAAAATATAGAATATTTTTCAAAAAATGTTGTAAACATTCTAAATAATCTTTAAATCTGATTTTATTCTTGACATTTGTTCTTATCCCTTTTGCCTTTTTAAATACTTTCACCTCTACCTTAATCAATCAATCAATCAATCAATCAATCAATCAATCAATCAATATATGTTTATTGTCAAAGCTACAAGAACTTATGGACAAACACTTATAAATATAATTATTATGTAGTATTAACAATTACATGCATAAAAATTTAAAAATTGTATAAAAACGGTAAATATAAAATTAGAGGTTAATTACAAATACGTAACACAACATCGATAAAATTATATAAATACAAAAACATGTACGTTCAAACAGTCACAACGATTTAAGAGTCATTGTAAAATTCCGTCAAAGCATAATATGCTTTTGTCTTCAACATATCTCTAAGCAGTATTTTAAATGTTGTGACCGTTTCCGTCGATTTAATATCATTTGGCAACTTATTGTACATTTTAATCCCATTATAAATGAAAGAGCCCCTTACCAGTTCAGATTTGGGTATGGGCAACCGCAGGTTGTCAACTTGTCGCGTTAGCCGAGCGTTAGTATTGGCATAGTTCGATTTATTTTTATGTATAATACAAGTGGTTTCAAGAATGAACAACGATGTTAATGTTAAAATTTCATGTCTAATAAAATGTGGCTGACATGACTCAAGCTTGTTCATTCCACATAAAAATCGTATTGCTCTCTTTTGCAGACAAAAAACAGTATTGAATAATTCGCGGCTGCAACCTCCCCAAAATGCAATTCCATATCTCAAATGGGACTCAACTAGGGCGTAATACACACTTTTTGCTGCCTTAAAACCTAGTTCTTTTGCCACAGTTCTGACTGCAAAACATCCAGAAGAAAGTTTTCTGTTTAGCAATTCTATATGGTTTCTAAATTTCAAATTATTATCTAAATTAATTCCCAGAAATTTTATTGTGTCAGTACATTCAATAATATGACTTTCCAACTGAATATTTGGTAGGGAACATTTAAGGGTTAGCATTTTAGTTTTTCCCATATTAAGACGCAAATAGTTGGCATCGCACCATGCTTTGATTTTCTTAATGTCACAGGATATGGTGTTGTATAGGACAGAAGTGTCATTGCTGTGCCATAAAATCGTAGTATCATCTGCAAATAGAGTGAAAGTACCTGCAATTTCAAGTTGAGCTAAGTCATTCACATAAAGGAGAAATAAAATGGGACCTAACACAGAACCATGAGGGACACCCCAACTAATATCTAAAACTTGAGAATCCTGAGACGCTCTTACCATTTGCTTACGTTCTGAAAGATAAGATTTTACCCAACTCAGCGCTCCGTTTTTGATCCCGTAAACTCGAAGTTTATCCAACAGTACTGTATGATTGACGCAATCGAACGCCTTAGTTAAATCACAGAATATCGCCGCTACAGAATCGTCAACATTAATTCTAGAATAAGCATGTTCAAGATAAGAAAATATCGCATCAGAAGTACTTTTGTTCCTTTGAAAACCAAACTGTTGTGTTTCCAGCAATTTGTGAGTTTCTAGATAATGAATAAAACGTTTTATTACAACTTTTTCAATAATTTTGGCCACTGTAGGAATGAGAGATATAGGCCTGAAGTTCGAAGGATCGTAGTTACTGCCGCCTTTATGTATGGGAACAATAACACTGGTCTTAAGAAATGACGGAAAATTTGATTCGTCGAAACTTTGGTTGATCAGACTAGCAAGGACTAACATTGCTGATTCAGGAAGGTTTAGGATAACTCTAATAGAAATATCATCATAACCAGCAGCATTTTTGTTTTTAATATCTGAACATATTTCCATTATTTCAAAACATGTTGTAAAACTTAGAGTAAAGTTGGAGTTAACATGGGTATTTTTTAAATAATCTAAAGGATCAACTGACGATCTGAAATTATTGGTCAGATTTTCAGCAATTGAGCAATAATACTGATTAAATGTTTCTGAATCGATGTAGTTCTTAACGGATTTGGAATTTTGTTTATTTTTCAATTCATTAATAATATTCCAAGTTTCTTTAACTTTATTATTAGATTTTTCAATTCTAGAATAATAGTATATGTCCTTAGCTTTTTTAATAACAGTCCTATATATTTTCCTATAATGGAGGTAATAGATTAAAACGAATTCATCTTGGACATATTTTTTAATGTAATGGAGGGATTGCATATTTTTTGCTGAACACCTTATGCCTGAGTTCATCCAAGGTTTTTTATTTTTTATATTAATTTTTCTAATGGGAAAACTGGATTCAAAAAATTTGCACAAATTATGGTAAAATGCTTTAAATGGATCATCAGACAACATGCAGCTATGCCAATTAAAATTATGGCTGCTTAATCTAAATTTATCATAATTAGGTTTGCTAAACATATCTGAATTTCATTTTCCTAAGCTTCGTATCGAGAGGCGTTGAGCACAAAACAACCTCATGATCAGATAACGAGATGGAATGGACTGAACACAGAATATTACTGTCCAGAAAAGAGGAGCAAAAATAGTCAATCAACGTTTCACTGTTATTAGTGATTCGAGTAGGATCTTTGACATGCATATTTAGATTAAAAGATAATAAAAGATGAGAAAGATTTATTATATTAAGTATACTGTTTCGAACGTAATCCTACAAAATAAATCATTATTTTGGAATTGTTTTTATCTTTCATTATTTCTGGAACCTTTTTATTTACTAACGGTATACTCCACCGATTATATTTAGGATAGTCGCTGGTATCGAATCTTACAATATCTTTTTTAATTACCTCTTTATATGCATCATTACACTCTATTTCATATATAAGACCATGGGTATCTATATACAAAAGCTTACATTCATCATTACACTCTATTTCATATATAAGACCATGGGTATCTATATACAAAAGCTTACATTCATCAAGAGGAAACTTTTCTAATCATAATGAAATTCATACACGCAAATTTTTGATATATCTAAAATTGCCATTCCTATATATGTATTGAATTCGATTCTAGACTGCTTAAGTTCCACAGCCATAAGAGATTCATAAAATATAGTACGTCTATAAAATTTTGGACTAAAAATTAAATTGTTTGCGCCCATTGGATTTATCCAATACCTTACTAATTTTACTACCCTATGCTTCCTCAAATTCTGCAGTCTTACCAAATACGGCATTGTTCATCAGTTTGTATAGATTTTTCTCGAATTCGGTTGTTTCTCGAGATCTCAATAAAGTATTAAGCTCTATATACGATTTTAACCATGGACTTTGCTTAAATTTTAATACGCGATGTATCTTTGTTAAGATATCCCTCCTCGTATGCCACCCTCAAAAAATAATAACATGTCGACATCCTGTATTGTTTTTAATGCACATTTTGTATATTTAAGCATACAATCCCAAGTATAACCTGGAACTGTATAATAATGAACGGGGTCTAAACCGTACGTTTTATAACACGTATCTCTAAACCAGCGGTTCTCAAACTTTTTTGGTGACGGAACCCTTTTGGAAAGCAAAATACTTGACGGAACCCTACAATAAAACAATAGTTTTTAAAAGTGTATTCTTTATTATACTGATTATTACTTATTTAACATGCCACATGGCAAGTACATTATTACAAGATATTAAAAAAGAAAAAATCTAACTAATGGGAGGTATGAAACTGTTTTTTATTTTTCATTAATTGGTTGATGTCAGGTTTGATAGAAGACAGTTGCAGTCTCATATCAGGTTCGGCGTCCAGTCTATTGCGATATTTTGTTTTCGTGGCTGCATACGTTGAGAATCCTGTTTCGCACAAATATGTTGTTGGGAACGGGAGAAGAATATTCAGAGCCATTTTGCCAAGCATTGGATATTCATTACGAATTCTGCACCAAAAATCGTTGAGAGGCATCGTTTTGAATAGTGACTCCATACTTGTGTCTGATGACATTTCTAAAAGAGATTCATATATCTCGTTTGACATACTTTCGGGCTTTTGCAAGTTGGGTAAAAAAGGATTATGAATCCATGAATTCAGTTTTATTTTTGTATTCTGTTCTTCGGGAAAATACTTTTCAAAAGATGCGCGCATCGAAGTGAGATATTGAACCAATTCATCAAACATATCATCTTGAAACATTTCTGAGTCGTTATCGCTAACAAACTCACTGAGTGACGTAAAGCTTTCTATTTCTCTCTTATCAACGCAAACAATCCAAAAATCTAATTTTCTTTTGAAGGCAGTTATTTTGTTATAGGCCTGGAATACTGTTGTCTGTTTACCTTGCAATGATAAATTCAAGTCGTTTATTTTTTGAAAGATATCCGCCATAAAAGACAATCGGAACAACCAAGTTTTATCATACAAACGGCCTTTCAAATTAAAAGAAGTATCAGCTGAAAGAAACATTTGTAACTCCGCTCTAAGTTCAAATAGCCTTGTTAAAGTTTTACCCCGAGACAGCCATCGCACTTCTGTATGGAGCAGCAGTGTTTTATGTTTGCTACCATAATCTTCACACAATAATGAGAACAATCGGGATTGTAGTGGTCGTGATTTGATAAAATTGATTATTTTTACCGCTTCATCCATAACTAATTTTAGATTTGACGGCATTTGCTTCATCGCAAGTGCTTGTCTATGCAGGATACAATGGCTGGAACTACAATTAGGCGCTTTATTTTTTATGCGTGACACTGCACCTGCTGTTTTACCTGTCATAGCCTTGGCCCCATCTGTACAAATGTCAATGCAATCGTTCCAACTGAGATTATTTTCTTCAAAAAATATGTTTATTTTATTAAAAATTTCTTCCCCGGTAGTGTTTGTGGGCAGCGGTGAACACATAAGCATGTCTTCTTCAAAAGAACTTTCATATGGATATCTCACGATAACCAGCAAGATAGCCAGACCAGCGACATCAGTTGACTCATCAATTTGCAAGGCGAATCGTGTTTTTTGTAGACGTGTAACTAGTTCTTGTTTGACGTAGCTTGCCAGATCATGGATTCGCCGTGAAACAGTATCGTTTGATAGCGGCACAGTAGAAAGATACTTTACAGATTTTTCATCGAGCATACATTTTGTTATGTCTAACACACATGGCTTTATTAAATTTTCAGCGATAGTGTGCGCTTCACCTTCTTGTGCAATGCGATAGCTAACTAAATATGATGCCTCCGTGGCCTTTTCATTGATAGTTTGTGTTACATGCATCATATTTTTTTGACTTTCCAATAACTGTTCTTTTCTGCGAACAAAAAATTCTTTATTCTTGTCTTTAGACTCGGGGTGTACAGTTTCTAAATGTCGGCGCAATTTGGCAGGTGCCATGGAACTATTAGGAAGCAGTTTACTACATAGCATGCAGAGAGGTGAGCCGTTGGAATCAACAAATCCGAAACTGATATATGATTCATCATACTTCCTTTTTTTCGTCTTTGAAACCGTGGAGCTTGACGTCGTGGCATCATCGTCTCGATCGGTAATTGCTGCATTCTCCGCATGTACTGCTTTTGAACATTCAGCGTCATTAGAAGATGTTGTTGCAACACGTTTAACGCCTTTAAGCCAACGTTCCATTCTTCTTTATTAATAATGTTACACGTCAGGATGGTGGGGTCAAAATAATGCACAATCGTTACTGCTTATAAGAGACTAAGTTTAGTCCAAAGAAGAAATGTACAAATCTGATACAATCAGAATACAGCAGGCAGTAGAACAATAAACACTAGTTATATATCACGTTTAAACTCCGCAATTCGCTAGACAGCTTGTAAGTAGGTAGGTAGGAACTTATCGCTACGAACGCTAATCGTCAACTGACTGACGAGGCGCGACGCGCGATCGCCGCTTTTATACTTAGTCCTAGACTCGATCTCGGGACTGCGCACTCACAAGTATGCGCGCGGCAGCGGCGCGGCGGGCGGAGTCAAAACGTTCGACCAGAGAGAGGTGTTTTGATTTTTTTTCTAAATTCTTGCGGAACCCCCACAGGGGTATCGCGGAACCCTAGGGTTCCGCGGAACACACTTAGAGTATAGCTGCCTAAACGTTTCAAACACTGAGGCGAATAAAAGTATATAGGTTTTTATGTACAAATAGCTATAATCTTCAAGAGTTTTCAAATTGAATTTTTCCCAAACTAATTTTGCGTGGTTATAATCTACATCAGTAATATGTTGATCCATAAATTTATTATAGAAAATATTTGATTTGGATGTTCCGGTTCTTCTAATCTTGCAATGTTAGTTAAATAATCATAAAAGAAAACACCTAGTCAATAGCTTAAATTTTTCCTCATCTAAATCATGGAATTCATTTTTAAGATCAATAAAATCTTATCTGCGTCTTTAAAGGACTTTTTGCAAATGTGACAAGTACTAGATGCATCCTTTAAGCTCATCGCTGTGTTTAAAGGTTCCACGTTTTTCAATTTAGAAGATACAAATGTAGCAGTGTTTTCGATTTCTTGAGAAAACCAAGACATACAATCTAGACCCCTATTATTTTTACAAAAAGAAAAGTTATTATTATAATTACATTTAAAATACAATCTTGCACCATTTTTGATAGTGAGATGTTTTCGTTAACGACTAAGTTTTCCTTTTTTATCAACTTCAACAAAAGGCTTGAGTAATGACTCGAAATCTGCATAAATAATAAATGATACTCTTCCTTAATATAAAAAAATTTTAAATTTAATGTAGGGATAATTATGAAAATCTATTCGACAATCATCTAATTTTTCACAATATTCGATATGATTATTTAACTTTCTCTCTGAATTAAAATAATTTAAACATCGATCACAAATACTTATATTTTTTATTTTTATAATTAAAAAGCTGTCTGTATAAGAATCTAGATAAATTTTTATTAATATAACAAAAGTGATATTTGATTTCTTCTTCATTAGATTCATCATCATCGTTATCAGGTTCACAGTTGTTACCTTTAGGCTTATATTTATTTTGAATAATTAGTAAGTTAACAGGTTTTTTTTTGTTTCGTTAAGTATACAGGTGCAGCAATAAATTTTGACTCAGAATGCATTTCTAGCTCATAAATATTTACCGAAATATTCTCATTATTTTTTTCAAATATAGGAACCTGATTTAAGATTACTGGGAATGTAAGTCCTTTTAAGTTTATGTAAACTACACAAATAATTAAATGTTTATTTTACGTATGAAGTTTATTAATATTAAAATAACGTTACAAAAATAATAATTATTAAAACAAATGGAATAACACAGTCTTAACAAAGAAATCGACTGCATTCCTCAACGGTGTTCGATAATCTGTCCATCCAAATAGTTGACCCACTGATTGAACCTTTGAATATGATTGAACGACCCTTTTCTGTCGGCCGCCCGGTTTACGATGTTCTTGTTTCCCAGAAATCGTCTCGGGTTAAGGGACCATCCAAAAATAGATTACAGTCGGCCTACCTGACTTTTTCACGACCCCGTGAAACATGGTTAAACTATAACAAAGAAAATATATTAATTAAGCTGAAATTAATAAATATGAGCACGAATATTTCTATTCGTCCTCGGCTTCACAGTGTCGCTTTGCGAAACTGTCACTTCATTTTGTCTGAAGGACAAATGCCCGTATCTAGCTGTCCTACAACGTTCGGACCCTGGCAGTTCGTCAACCACGTACCGATCATTATCAAGTACTTTAGTAACTAGGAAGGGTCTTCTATAACAAGGTTCAAGCTTTCTGCTCCGCCCATCATTGGGGCCTTTATTGCCTTGTATCAACACATGTTGGCCAACCTTAAATTCCCGTAACGGGGCATGCCTCTTATCGTAATACTGCTTCTGCAGAAGCTACTGTTCTCGTTATCTGAGAAACATCATCTCTCAACGTCCCTAGGTCTTGGCGTTGCTCGCATGTAACCTCTGACGTGAGAAATGCGTCACTTACGCCACGGGGGCGATCACCAAACAAACATTCATAAGGGTAGGTTGTACAACAGGCAGTTAAAATGCAATCTTAGTATGATGATCGGTTACTGTTAAATATAGTTTTAGAAATGACATTTGTACGGTAAATATAACCAGTTAAAAATTAAACTAATGGTTAAACTAAGTTTACATCATTCTTTGTACAACCTGTCCTAAGTGATTTTATGGTGGTGAAATTAATTGTCGAATTAATTCCAAACGTAACTTTGCTCACAGCTTCATCCCAACGGGATTCGTCTTCTACTTGACCGTTAGCCCGATGGGTCAAAGTAGTACATTCTACATGTTTAATACCTAACGTTAAATATACTTGTTTAATACCTACAGTTAAACATACCTGTTTCTACAGTTAAACAGTATTCCTTAAAATTCTTTTTCATAAAATCAGTGTCACCGTCGCAAATAAAACTGCGAAGAACCCCGAATATTTCTATTACCTCATCTAGAAATTGCAGTACAGGCACCGGCCCAATTGTTGTATTTTTGTACCGCTTTTTTTTAAAAAATACAAATTTCGTAAATTAAAGCCGTTAAGTGCTACGATGAGATAGGAGTTTTTCCTAATAGTCTTATACAAATTTCTTAAAGCCGTTAATTAATATGGTGAGATACGTGTTTTCCTAACACTCTTATAAAAATTTCTTAAAGCACTTAATTGATGTGAAGAGATACGAATTTTCCTAGCACTCTTATAAAAATTTCTTAAAGCAGTTAATTGATATGATGAGATACGAGTTATCCTAATGCTCTTATAAAAATTTCGTAAAGTCATCAACTGCTAAATGACCTATCATGAGGATGCTGCAATGTACTAATATTAGAGTTATTCGTCGTGCTGTTTTTGGAATAAATCATCTCTTTCTTTTTGCTGTTTTTCGAAAGTCGTTTCATCCTTTAAACAGTACTCTTTATGAATTTGTCGTTCACCGTTTGTCATTATCTTTAGGATCTCGTGACAAAACATTGATAATATTGTTACAAGTGATGTCTTGCAGTTGTGCTGAAAGTATTCTTCCTCAATATTTACTATCATTACGTTAAATTATTCGGCTAACACCGGCCGATATAAGAAAAGCTTCTCTTGGCGACGTCAACTACATTAAATCTGTAGGTTGGCTCACGAGCTAGGAGATGCCTATCATCTAAGGAGGATGCACAATGGACCTAATGAGGCCTAAGTGCCGTGGGGGGTAACCCACCCTCCACACGTTGCAGATACAGATACGTTACAGATACAGATACGTTACAGATAAAGATACGTTACAGATACAGATACGTTACAGATACAGATACGTTACAGATACAGATACGTTACAGATACGTTACAGATACGTTACAGATACGTTACAGATACGTTACAGATACGTTACAGATACATATACGTTACAGATACAGATACGTTACAGATACGTTACAGATACGTTACAGATACACATACGTTACAGATACAGATACGATACAGATACGTTACAGATACGTTACAGATACGTTACAGATACGTTACAGATACGTTACAGATACAGATACGTTACAGATACGTGATTGATCCATAAGTATAGTGGTACTTCGGCTCAGAGCGCCTACGTGGCTGATCTTAGTGCCACAACGATGTTTAATGCCAAAATCGAATTCTTGAATTAATAACCACTATCTTGCGATGCGAAGAATCAAGTCTCGTTTCACATGGGTGTCACGAAGTAAGTTACAATCGGTAACGATTTTAACTTTATGCCACTTAAAACAGAACTTTTTAAATGCGCTTACAGCCGCCAAAGTTTCAAGCTCATGAATAATATTTTTACTCTCCTTTGCTTGTGGCTCTACTAAATATTATACTAGCCTAAATTGCTATCATTTTGACCTTCTAGAAGTATTTCTACTGGTCCGACTTTACTGGTGTCACAATGTTCTTCAGTTTTTACTTATCTGTTATAAATAGCATATATGGATCGTTCTACTAGCTTCTTTATTTTTAAAATCGCCGAATTTCGTTGATATCCTTAGGTGCTGCAAAGTCTGCTACAGTGTCCTTGGTGTGTCGACTTCCATTCCGATTTGGGCTTCCTTTGTGGGTGTTTCCTCATCCTGCCTCTTTCTAGGGGTCTTTCATCCTCCTCTCCGCCATGGGTCTTCATCCTACATCCACCGGTCTTCATTATTTATTCTCCGTTATGGGTCTAAATATTTTGTTCATAATCCTTTATATAACAGCAGAAGCATTTACCAAAATAAAAGTCATACAGTATGAACCGTACATTACAGGTTCGCTATCGGTTAGTGTGATCAACATTTTCGTAAGAGTCGTTTTAGCAACCTGTCCTAAATTAGTAGCGAAACAATACATAATATACTCGTTAAATAATCTAAGTAATTTAGAACGTTCAATGCTATTTAATTCTGAATTAGTTTGATTTTCAAGCGCTAATAATGTAAAATTTAGTAAATCAACAATTTTTGTTACTAAGCAAGTTTTATCTCCGGTACATGAAGAACATCTAGTAAGTATTGTCGTTTTCGTAACAAACAGACAGGAATACAGCAACAATTGTTCATATTAATAACACACGGTACATTAATGTGAAAATGATTATCTTAATTTATATATCTTAAATCAACAAAAACATCTTAGCTCTACAAAAATATCTTAGATCATCAAAAACACCCCTAACGTTTTCATTTTTAATTGGAGAAATGTCACCTACAAAATTCTACGGAATAATAGTAGTTTCTTCTACACATAAATTAATTTTCTTAGACAAAGACTCGTTAATATGCGTAACGTTGACGTTATTTTAATTAAAATATGTCATACTTGGTTACATCTAACGAAAACTGTAACCATATCATTATTTAAAGATGGCTCACCTACAATAACAGGGACATCCTGTATTTTATCCGGTACGTCAACAGTAGAAGTAGCTAAATCAACATTCAAAGTTGTCGTAACCTTTGAAGGTACTATAACAAAATCTCCCGCATAACCACACAAACGTACTAATGTGGGCTAACCCTGTAGATGCAACTTATGACTGCATCACGAATTGTAACTGCAGCACAACCCGAGTCTACAAAGCTTCGTATAGGTTCATCGTTGATAACACAATCAATGAAATAGCAAGTACTAGACGCCTGATTATTAGATAAAATTAAAATTGGTTTTGACTCACCCTTATTTTGTCGTTCAGCTGGTCTTTTACCTGCGTTTACGGTGC